AGACTGAAACCCAGGACAAATTCACTACCTCCCTGATATAGAAGCCAACACCTGTTTCAGGCAGCAAAATCACTTGGCCTGTACCTGTCACATGCCTTAGGGTGGAGAAGGCTCAGATTCATTTAACTTCAGCAAGGTTACGCTATTATGTGCTTTCAGATCATGTTCTGGGCTCATCAGACAACTCCTGACAGAAAACTACTAAAACAATATATCTTTTAGAACAATTGATCTTATTAGAGCAGAGACCTACAGACTACCTGACAAGCAAAGGAAGATTGTTTTGACTACTACAACATGTTATTAAAACTTTTAGGAAATCAATGATTGCAAAATCTTCACCTGATAATGTGATGAATGCAGCACTTGGAAAATTCCCTTTCTGGACTACAACACTTCCAGATAGCATGGTTATTACATTCCCTGACTTGTGCATTTAGGAAGTTACTGTCCAAAAATAATTGCTGGAATCCTATTTGATGCCACTATACATCCTCCTAGTTGTATAGCACAGGTGCTAAGAAACCCCTTTACTAAATGCTGGAGATAAATAATAGGAAACTATCATGAGTGCCCAAAGGACACTGATATACACTGTGCACCAATATGCATACTGTACAAATGCAAATTGCACAATTATGTAGATCGCACACCAATGCACATCACAAACTGGTACACCCTGCACAACAATGCACAACACATACTGTTGCACATGAAACACTGATGTTCCCTACATCTGGCACTTTACTATCTCTGCTACATAGTAATGTAACAGCAGCCTTCTGTTGGAAACAGACATTCAACCATGCAATCCTAATGAGTGGGTTCATATGGGAAATCTTGTTGTCCTTCAAATAACTTGGACCTTAGCTACTCAGTGATAAGAACTCCTCTACAGACACACTTGCTTCAGAGTAAAGGCTCAGCTTCCCTCCAGCTTCCTCACATGAGTTCCCTACACTTGAGTAACAAATGAATAAAGGTACAGATAACCAGCTCACTAAGCAGATACTTGGACAAAGCAAAAAAGTTGTGATTTGACCAGCAAACATTAGTAAACAGCTTTTATGAGATTAAAAAGCATAAAATCCTTGTCCTAAAAGAGCTAAAAACTACACAAAACCACATCTAAAATTGGAAACCAAAGTCATGAGGATACAAGACTGCTCCTCTAAAAGAAACAAGGCCATTTTCAGGAAAACAACCAAACTTCCTCATTATAGAGTTGCACATATCATGCTCACTTGCCATGTTCCCCAGTACCAATATGGGATGCAGGAACAGAACTTGCCTGAGAGCTCTAACAATGGAGATCACTTCAAACCTCAAAGATAAGGATCCCCCTTATGAATATCACCAATACATAGATCTGCTGCACAATATTACATATGGGAATAACAAGTCATTCCTCAACATACCTATCCTAACAATGGGCATTCTCTTACATAAGAGCAATGCTCCTCCACTTTCCCCACGTAAGAAATAATATTCAGATCATGGAGAAACATGCACTAAGCATCAGAGAGGAATGATAGACATGGAATTGGACACATACCCTTTCTACACTACTATTAGAAGCAACTCGTAACTTATTCAGTGGTCCAGAGCAAGTCTCTGCAATGTGTAGCTAATATTTATTGTTCTATGTATAGCTAGAAAACCCATCTTTCCTCTGCTGAACTCAAGAGGAGCTTTTCTCCTCCCCAAGTTTGTTTTCACCACAATCCTGTGAGGTAGGTCACAGGCTGAGAGCGAAGGAGACTTGCCCAAAGGAGGGTTTTTGGTATAGTAGGAACTACAACTCAGGTCTCCTAGCCCTTGACCTGAAAGAGAACAGCAATAAACACAAAGCTAGGTTTTGACTGGTAACTTGTACCATGCTCCTAGTCAATACGGGTTGTCCATGCGTTCATCTGAGGTTGAGAGAATGTGACTTGTGATTGGAGCCCCTAATGGTGCAATGGGTTAAACCCTTGTGCTGACAGGATTGAAGACCAACAGGTCACAGGTTCGAATCTGGGGAGAGCATGGATGAGTTCCTTCTGTCAGCTCCAGCTCCCCATGCAGGGACATGAGAAAAACCTCCCACAAGGATGGTAAAACATCCAAGCATCCAGGCATCCCCTGGGCAACATCCTTGCAGACAGCTAATTCTCTCACACCAGAAGCAACTTGCAGTTTCTCTCATCCCTGACACACACAAAAATGGGGAGGGATTCAAATTCTAGTCTCCCGAGCCATAGTCCAATGCTCAAACCACAACATTACACTGGCTCTCCTATACAAATACAACTAAAGCACCGGAATTCTACACAGAGTTCAGACTACATCAATAAACATAGGAAGGAACTGGCAAAATGACCTAGAAGTATTCCTTGCCTAAGAAAACACTAGGAAATCCATGGGGTCATCACAAGTCAACAGGAGCCTTGAAGGCACATGCATTCAACTTTATGTGCTCATATATTGGGATAGTTTCCAAGGGTGTGCACATCTAACTTTGGACTTCAGGTTCCATAATCCTTTACTGTGGAGTGTAAGACCCTTTAAAGGCCATGTGCCCCATTATTGATTGCAAGGCACAACAGCACAATGGTGTACCAATCAATACATGCCAATATCAAGCCATTCCCTGTAATACATGTGGGCTCCCAGCAATATAGGTGACTATAACTATAAACAATATAAATGGGGTGGCTTCCACAAAATATACTGTGCACAGAAAAACCCACAGTAGATATCAAAGAGGAGATAGAGAGGCATCCCAGTGCTTCACTGTGGAGAGCTACCAAAACTAGACAGGGAAGAACAGGATTTTCCAAATATGAGCAGAAGGTTTTTACTCCCAAACAGTTTATAGGTGTACATTTCTAGAGGCTTGGTGTGCAGTACAATATACAGTCATACATTTTGTTAGCAAACACAGAGATACCTGCAATAATAATAAATACAATAGGGAGAGAGATTATATAGAATGCCAAAACTTATCCTGCTATGCAGTCGTTCCCAAGGCTACAGACAGCAACATTTCCAGGCAGGGAAAGGCAACCTGGGATATATACTCCTTGAAATACAATGCAGTGCACTTTAAGTTCCTTAGTTTTGAGTAGTGGTTCTCAACTTTCCTAATGCCACGACCTCTTAATACAGTTCCTCATGTCGTGGTGACTCCCAACCATAAAATTATTTTCGTTGCTACTTCAATAACTGTAATTTTGTTACTGTTATGAATTGTATGTAATGCTAATATCTGATATGCAGGATGTATTTTCATTCGCTATACCAAATTTGGCACAAATACCTGATACGTCCAAATTTGAATACTGGTGGAGTTGGGGAAGGGGGGATTTATTTTGTCATTTGGGGGTTGTAGTTCTGGGATGTATAGTTCACCTACAATCAAAGAGCATTCTGAACCCCACCAACAATGGAATTGATCCAAACTTGGCACATAGAACTCTCATGGCCAACAGAAAATACTGGAAGGGTTTGGTGGGCATTCGCTTTGAGTTTTGGAGTTGTAGTTCACCCACATCCAGAGAGCACTGTGGACTCAAACAATGATGGATCTGCACCAAACTTGGCACAAATGCTCAATATGCCCAATGTGAACACCAGTGGAGTTTGGGGAAAATAGACCTTGACATTTGGGAGTTGTAGTTACTGGGATTTATAGTTCACCTGCAATCAAAGAGCCGCTAGAACCTCATCAATGATAGAAATGGGGCCAGACTTCCCACACAGAACCCCCATGACCAACAGAAAATACTGTGTTTTCTGGTGGTCTTTGGCAACCCCTCTGACATCCCCCTCATGACCCCCCCCCCCAAGGCCCTGACCCCCAGGTTGAGAAATGCTGGTTTAAAGCAATGAAAGCAGTGCACTAACAGCAGGGAAATGTACAGTGGTGTCCAAAGCATGACCAGAACTAGATCACACAGTTCTAAGCAGTGTTTCCTAGCAATTCCAGCAACGGGGGCATCACAAAAGGGGTTCTTTGTTGTTGTTTTGTAGTTAGGCAAATTCACCCCTGGAAGTCTCAAAAGAAGGAGCAGCTTCCTATGCTGGGTCCCATCCCCTACTACCACATCTTGGAAAAGTTACTTTTTGGACCAGAGTTCCCAGAAAGAATGAGGGAAGATTTTGTTTTGATGTGTTTCAAGAGGCATAAGTGGGCCCTGCAGTTCCTTGAAGAAGGGGACTATAACTCCCAGAATCCTGACTTCCCAGCTGAGGAAGATCCTTTTCTGCACTACAATTAGTAAAGGTAAAGGTTTCCCTTGACATTCAGTCCGGTCGTGTCCGGCTCTGGGGGTTGGTGCTCATCTCCATTTCTAGGCTGAAGAGCCGGCATTGTCCATAGACACATCCAAGGTCATGTGGCCAGCAGGACTGTATAGAATGCTGTTACCTTCCTGCAGAAGTGGTACCTATTGATCTACTCACATTTGCATGCTTTCAAACTGCTAGGTTGGCAGAAGCAGGGGCTAACAGCAGGAGTTCACCCCACTCCCCGGATTCGAACTGCCGACCCTTTGGTCAGCAAGTTCAGCAGCTCAGTGGTTTAACCTGCTGCGCCACCAGGGGGCCCAATTCCCAGACCCCAAGTTGCAGGAATGGAGAGTTCAGGTTTTTGGACTTCAGTTCCCAGAACCCTGAATAGAGCTGTGGAAAGTCCTATTTTGGACTAGGACACCTAAAATCCAGACTGCAGGGCTGGAAGGAATTGCTTTGTGGACTAGGACTTGACTGAAGGGTCCTGGACTTGGTGGCTGTCGTTCAAAGCCCGTCAAGACCAGGCATGGGCCAACTTGGGCCCTCCAGGTGTTTTGGACTTAAGCGGCTGAGGGGGAGAAGAGGGGGCCTTGAGGCTGTTAGAAATGGTGAGAGTTTAAGTGCAAAACAACTGGAGGGCCCAAGTTGGCCCGTGCCTGTCTTGTGTAAGTCATGCAAGCTGGGGATCTGGGGAGCTGCCCTCCGTCCCAATGGAGCCCACTTACCGGCGGGGCCATGGAGTTGTGCCCGGCGGCCAGCTTCAGCGCTTGCCTCCGGAGCTCGGCCAGCTTGGCTTGGCAACTCCGGCACCATCCTCCTCCTCCTCCTCCTCCGCCAGCTCTCTCCAAGTGTCCCGGCTCGATCCCGGCGGCGGCTCCGGCTCCCTCGGGCGGTGGTCGGCTGGCGCAGCGCTCTTCCGGCGTGGGCTGGAGAAGCCTCTTCCGCGCAGGCAGCTCCAGGGAGGGCGGCGGGTCGCGACGGGGACTGCCTTCCGCCACCTGAGAAAGAAGGGAGCAGAAGCAGAAGAGGAGAGAGAGTCAGGAGGTAGCAGAGGAGGCGGCCGTCGTTCGCGCAACACTCCGGACTCCCAGATGGTTGTGCAGAATGGCAACGTGTAAACCCAAGCTCGTGAGTCAAAGAGCCCTGAAAACTCGCTCTTGGGGTCTCCAGCTCGCGCGTCAAAGCGCCCTACAAACTCAGGTCCAAGGCTCCCACCCCGTGTGTCAATGCGCCTTGAAAAGCTCACTCTTTGGGGTTTCCAACTTGTGCGTAAAGGTATCCTCCAAACTCTCTCCGGGCATGCCTGACTTGTGCGTCAAAGCGCCCTGAAAACTCTCTCTGAAGTCCTCAGCTCGCGCATAAAAAGCGCCCTGAAAACTCACAGCCCTTGTGCGTCAAAGCTCCATGTAAACTCTCTCTGGAGTCCCCAGCTCGTGCATCAAAGTGCCCTGAAAACTCACAGTTCTTGTGCATCAAAGCACCCTGAAAACTCGCCCTGGAGCCCCCAGCTCGCGCATAAAAAGCGCCCTGAAAACTCTCTCAGAAGTCCCTGGCTCGCGCATAAAAAGCGCCCTGAAAACTCACAGCCCTTGTGCGTCAAAGCACCCTGAAAACTCGCTCTGGAGTCCCCAGCTCGGGCGTCAAAGCGCCCTGAAAGCTCACAGCCCCTGTGCATAAAAGCGCCATGTAAACTCTCTCTGGAGTCCCCAGCTCGTGCATCAAAGCGCCCTGAAAACTCACAGCCCTTGTGCGTCAAAGCACCCTGAAAATTCTCTCTGAAGTCCCCAGCTCGCGCGTCAAAGCACCCTGAAAACTCACAGTCCTTGTGCATATCAGAGCCCTGAGAACACTCTCTGGAGTCCTCAGCTCGTGCGTCAAAGCGCCCTGAAAACGCACATCCCTCGTGCGTAAAAGTGCCCTGAGAACACTCTCTGGAGTCCTCACCTCTTGCATCAAAGCAACCTGAAAACTCTCTCTGAAGTCCCCAGCTCCTGCATAAAAGGCGCTCTGGAGTCCTCAGTTCGGGCGTCAAAGTGTCCTGAAAACTCACAGCCCTCGTGCGCAAAAGTGCCCTGAAAACTCTCTAGAGTCCCAGGCTTGCGCGCCAAAGCGCCCTGAAAACAGGAGCCCTTGTGCCCTCCCAAGGCTCTCCCGATGCGCCTGGCTCGTCAAAGCGCCTGGCCAAAACGATTCCAGAGGAGGGAAAGCAAGGGGATTGCTGGTGCCGATGACTGGATCCCCCTTGCCAGGGTGGGCTGAGAGATCCGAAAAGACAGGCCCACGAGCTCCGGGCGCCCTTTCTGGCACTTACCCCCGGAGGCATGTCAGGGGCTGGTCTCGGAGGGGCTCCCAGCCGCCCTGAGAGGAGGACAGCTCCCTCCCTGGCTCTCCGGCCTCGGCTAGAAGCAGGAGGTGAGCAGCCCCGAGAGGCGCCCCGCGGCGAAGGAGAAGAAGATGGTGAAGGAGAGGAGGAGGAGGAGGAAAGCGCCCCTCTCCCGCTTGGCCATCGCGCGCCCAAGCCCCGAGCCCTCCTCTCTCTTTCTCTCTCTCTTTTCCCCGGAGAAGTGCCTCTGCTTTGCCCAAAAGAGGAGGGAGGGGGCAGAGGAGGACCGAGGCGGCCCGCCCCCCAAAGCAGAGGCTGCCAAGGCAAAAGGCGCTCCGTCTCCTGCTGCGCCCGCTACGTGATGTTTCCTCCCATGTTGTAAAAAAGCAGGAGGGGGAAGAAAAGTTGAGAGTTGCCGAGTTGGAAGGGGAGAAAAAGTGCTCGGCGGCGGAGCGGAGAGGGAGGAGACGGTCGTCCAAGGGGAGGGGCTTGGGCCCTCTTTTCTCCTCCCCCCCCTCCTCCCCCCAAAGCCAAGCACAAGAGGAGGGTGAGCACTTGAGAGGTTTGACAGTTTTCTAATGAAAGGAGATTCCATCTGAACATGACTGTGAGAGCTGTTCAGCAGTGGAACTCTCTGCTCCAGAGTGCAGTGGAGGCTCCTTCTTTGGAGGCTTTTAAACAGAGACTGGATGGCCATCTGTCTAGGGTGCTTTGAATGCGATTTTCCTGCTTCTTGGCAGGGGATTGGACTGGATGAGTCTCTTCCCACTCTATGATTCTATGATTCTACTAGCACTCTTAACTCTCTGGTCCCATCCTGTAATATGCTGGGCTTCATAGGGCCCTTCCACACAGCCATATAATCCAGAATATCAAGGTAGAAAATCCCATAATATCTGCTTTGAACTGGGGTATCAGAGTCCACCCTGCCATATATCCCAGGTCAAAGCAGAAACTGTGGGATTTTATTCAGCTGCGTGGAAGGGGCCATAGTTTAATGATGTTTCTAGTATTCTGAATGTGTTGCTCATGGGATCACACTACAAAATTCCAAGTACAATGCTTCACTGTACTATAATTCCCAGTATCTCATAGGCCAGAGGCATGGCCTATGGGATCACACTACAAAATTCCAAGTACAGTGCTTCGCTGTACTATAATTCCTAGTATCCCATAGGCCAGATGCATGGCAATTCAAGTGGCACCAGATTGTTATAACCATGCTTATTCAGGTGTAGTGCTGCAACCCAACACGGAAAATTATCTTTCTCCAGGGTTGTCATTAATTTTGGGGGGGCTGTATGGCCATGTTTCAGAAGCATTCTCTCCTGACATTTTGCCTGCATCTATGGCAGGCATCCTCAGAGGCTGTGAGGTCTTTCTCCAACTGTTCTTCCAATGCCAGTGTTGCTTTAACAGAAGCCTTCCAATTAGACAATAGAGACAAGAAAAGGGGACTGGGCTGGGCACCCCAAAAAAGAGCTTGTAAAAAGAAGCTTCTTTGTCCAAGGCTTCATTAACTAAGATATGGCCTCAACAGTCTCAGTGTGGTGTAGTTGTTTGAGTGTTGGGATATGAGTCTGAAGAAAAGCATTCCTCAGCCACAGAAACTCACTGGGTGATCTTAGACAAGTCATACACTTGGAATCTCAGAAAATTCAATCTCAGGGTGCATGTACACTGTAGAATTACTGCACCACTTTAAGTACCATGGCTCAATACTATGGAATCCTGGGATTTTTGGTTTGGTGTGGCACCAACACTCCTTGAAGTAAAGGCAAAAAAAAATAGAAAAGACAACTCCCATGATTCAATACATCAAGCCATGGCTGTTAAAGTGGTGTCAAGCTGCCTTGATTCTACAGTGTAGATGCAACCCTTGTTTCAGCTTAGGGTCCCCCAAAATTAAAAATGAAAACACACAATAGCAAGCTGGAAGGCTAGGAAAAATGGTCCAAGAGTCTTAAGAACCAACAAGAAAAGGCTTTCTATACCCATGTCAGCTATGATTCTCATGGAAAACAAGGGAGAATGATCCATAAATTGCAAGTTCTGTTTGACCCATGAGTGACCCAACCTCCAGGGAGAAGCATGTGTACACAGACACTCAGGTGTATGTCTCATTATACTGTCAGTTAGCTGCCTACAAACATGGAGTCTGTATGCATTGTGCACTTGCCATGTGGCTCTCCAGATTGCTGAACCCACAAATGCCATGTAAAATCAACCAGAGTTTGAAAATCTTGCATTTTGAACCATACTGGTCACTTGGAGGTTTTGGAACTATTCCATGCTCAGTTCATGTAATTCAGCAAAGTAAAAGCAGACCGCCAGCCATGTCTGTAGCCCATCAAATGATTCATAGGTAAAGATAAATGTTTCCCCTTGACACCAAGTCTAGTCATGTCTGACTCTGGGGGGTGGTGCTCATCTCCATTTCTAAGCTGAAGAGCCAGTGTTGTCCATAAATGCCTCCGATGTCACGTGGCCATCATAACTGCATGGAGCACTGTTACCTTCCCACAGAAGCGGTATGTTTTCAAACTGCTAGGTTGACAGCAGCTGCCGCTAACAGCGGGAGCTCACCTCGCTCACCAGATTCAAACCACCAACCTTTCAATCAACAAGTTCAGCAGCTCAGCGGTTTAACCTGCTACGTCACCAGGGGCTCCTCAAGTGATTCATAGTTCCCATTATTTTGTAATCCCAAACCCAGAAGGACTGACATTTTGTCACCTGGAATATGTGCCAGGATGTTGCATACAATTCAGTGGGGTTACAAGTAATTTTGAGCATCCTTAAAAGATGCTTTTGGCCCCTACTACGCTACCAGATAATCCAGGTTATAATGGAAGATAATCCACAATATCTGCTTTGAACTGGGTTATCTGAGCCCGCACTGCCATATATTCCACTTCAAAGAAGATAATGTGGGATTTTATTCAGTTGTGTGGAAGGGGCCTTAGTTTACACTGTAATATAATCCAGTTCAAAGCAGATGATGTGGATTGATATTATCTGTCTTTAAGTCATTTTTGGCTTATTGTGACCATGCTGGAATAGTGCTTTAGTCTAAATTCCAGTAAATTTGGTTAGTCTTCTGCAGAGGGCTGGACCCAGCATGGGCAAACTTTGGTTCTCCAGGTGTCCAATTCCTAACACCCAGTAAACTGGCTGGGATTTCTAGGAGTTGAAGTCCAAAACTCCTGGAGGGCCAAAGTTTGCCCATGCCTGAGCTGGACTGTTGTTTTAGTCTGAACTCTATTGGCTGCTTGCTTCTGATGCACAAAAGGAACTTGCTTGCTTAGATACTGCAAATGATCCAAAGCGAGATTTCACTCCAGTTCTTTGGATGAAAGAACTAAAGTGCCATCTCAGCCCTAGTATCCCACCCCTGTACTCCAATATTCAGCAAGAAAGCCATATGCAGACCCACCAGTAAGGGAAACCAAGGTGGTGAAAACAAGAAACCAGATCTTCTCGATGAGAGCCCCTGATCACTGGGAGCATCTTCCTTCACGAATTATACTCAACCTTTTCAGCTCAAGCCTCCAGACAGGCCTTCTATGTTGCTTCCTCTGAGGAATTTAACCGAATTTTAAGTCTCAAGACATGATTCAAATACTTGAGTGGGTGGGTGCGGTTCAGCTGAGCTGCCTGGGCTATAATTTATTCTTCTGTATTTTTATTTAGAGGGAGCATGACTCTGAGAGAAGCAGCCAAGAAAGACTTCAAAACAAATAAATAAGATGAATGCAATCCGTCTGGCTTTGCTACAGTGAGTTACTTTGCTTGTTTATTTTGTATCCTACCTGTCTCCCAATTTGAGGAAAGGACACCCAGTTTCTTCCCAGAATGGGGAAGATATACATTGTCGCTCATTATAATTTCACAACAGAAATACAGCAATTGGAAGGTGCCTTAGCTAGCACTATTACCTTTAGTGAAGTTGTGTTTCCCTTGATTGCAATTTGGATTAAAACACTTCAACGGGTAAAACAGCAGATTCAAGCTATCCCAGTGACATCTGAGATAACACACCAAGGATAATAAACAGAACTGTCAGAAAAGATGGACTATAACATCCGGAATCTCACAACCAAGGGGATTTTAGGAGGTGAGATCTAAAAAAACAGTAACCATCCTCTGCTCTGACAGTTTGCCCACTGTTTCTCTTCCTACAACTTATGAAGAAATATAAGAAGCTCACGTTCTGCAGGCCAAACTCATTGTCTCCCTAATTCAGTCCTGGCTCCTCCAAGTGGCAGAGAACATTCTCATTGTCTAATACCAGATCCTCTTTTCAGATGAGGAGGAAGGGATTAAATCTATGACTTCTGAACATACTCTGCAACTGACCTATAACACTCCCTCCCATAACAGGAAACCAAGCACACATCACGAATGGCGCTATCCCCAAGCAAACTGAGGGAATCCAAAAAGCAAATTCTGGTGGTTTTCCATGCCCTGAGACTAAACTAATATGTAAGCATAACCTGCTATAGAACCCATCTCCAGTATTACACAGATAATCCAGTTCTCTCCAGCAGTCGTTCGCCATTTTATATATGCAATGCAATTTTACTATACCATTGAATATAATGGGACTTGAGCATCCATGGATTTTGGTATCCACAGGGTCTTGGAACCAAATCCCAGTGGATACTAAGGGCCCTCTGTATTCCTCTGTGTTTTATATACTAGTGGCAGCTGACTACTCACTAGGGCTTGTGGAGTGAAGGAAAAGCAATGGGAGAACCAGAGGTGGAGGCATCGTCACTTAGTTTGTTGCCTAGACTCAAAGTCTAAATAAATTCTACACTTTCTGCTGGATGGGAAGTGCACCCAACATTCTCAGTGCCCATATGAAAATGCCATGGGATTGGTACACATTAAGACAGTCCAATGTGTAGCTAGATAGACAATCTAGATGGGTTCTGTAGGATTGCAAGTTGGGAGGACCTACCATGCATAAACAAGCCAGTGGTTAAGACTATTCGGTCAACTATGTAGAAGTACACGTAGCTGCTATTTGAGCATTACTCTATGCAGAATGCAATGCATCTTGCCCTTGGCCTCAGACAGCCAATGGTTTATTCTAGTACATTATCTCAATGCACATGGGATGATACTGAACCTCAGTGAGATTGCTAAAGCACCACATAACTGCTCTCCATAATCCTTTGCAGGATGCAGCAGTTCTATTTTGGCTAGGCAGCAATTCCTCAGTAATCACAAGGAGTCCCTGAAAGCAGGGCTGGAATTTAGTATGGAACTTGTATCTATGTTGAGTAGACATATTCCTACAGGAAATAGAAATGAGTCTTATTGTAACATTTATATATAGGGAAATCAATAAGTTAATGATTGATAATGGATGCCAATGTGCACCCAACATTCTCAGTGCCCATATGGACAATGCCGTGGGATTGGTACACATCAAGAGAGTCCA